CGAGGCTGGTGAGGTGGGCGATCCACTTAGCCCCGGTATACTGTAGGGTGTTTCGTGACCTGAGGAGAGGTTTCGTGCATGTCCTTGAATGAAGTTGGTAGAGCCGGACAGCGCGAATTCGTAGGAGATGGCACGCATCGGGTCGTCCTGGGCCATGGAGGTGCAACGGAAAACATTGTTCGCATCGAAGCTTGGGTCCACAGCAGAGCCGTAGTTGATACCGAGATCTTCAAAAATCTCGTGATTTCCATTAATATCTGGTTTGATGTTAGACATAGCATGACAGGCGTATATAATCTCAAACACTCACTCTGTACTGGGGCTTGGGCGTCGATCCCGTGGGCCTTTTTAAACAGGTTCAACCACTCAGGGTTGTCGGCAGAGGTCTGGTTCCATGGATCGTCATCATCATACAGGATACGACGTGATTCCTTCTGTAGCATCTCGTCGGTCAAGGTTCCTGCTCCATGCTTGTCGATATACTCTCGTGCGAAGCGTCCCAGTTGCAATGTAAGGATCTCCCAGCAAGTTGCATTGGGGTTGTTGGTTGGCGACTCTGAAGAGGAGTAATCTTTGGGTGTTGTCAAGACGATAGGCCCGATTGTTGAAGGATCACTTCCGGTCTGGTATGCGGCGGATATATTGTTCGTCGCGGTGTTGATATCAAAGTTGGGCAGAAGATACTCAAGATCTCTGTTCTCCACCGATAGGTTGAGTTGCTGTTGGAAGATTAGCAAAGTAGACTTCAGCGAAGATCTGCGTGGAGTTTGACCTCACTGTGGGTCCGCATGTTCGCTACGGTAGTACGTACCTTGAGGCTGGTGGTGTTGCTGGCGGAGAAGGGAAACGGAGATTTGCTCTCGTTAGCAATAAGATACGGCGGCATAGCATTGGTCACATGGATGGCGACATGAGGGTCTAGGCCTCTGCATCCCTTCCAGTTCTTCATGCTTGCGCCATTTCGGAACTCCTTTGCCAAATGGGCGGTACGATCTTCCCACTTGTCAAAGTTCATACCGCAGAAACCGCAACGGGATTTGATGTATTGGGCTTCGGACTTCCATGTATCCATACTCGCGATCATCTTGCAACCATGCATGAGTCGCAGATGTTGTCGAAGATGGTCTTTCCGGTAGAAGGTTCGAGACTCTGGGCCTTTCTCGTAGCAAGCCGAGTGGTTGTGCGTCGCCAAATGGTCCTTACTGGGATCTAGCTCGTCACAGTAAACACATCTGGACTTTCCGGTAGCCTTGTCGGCGACAACCTCTCCAATTGGTGCACATAACCACTTCTCCAGGGACAAGTGAAGGCTTTTCTCGTGACGGGACCTTTGATACATTAGCATTTGACATTGCAAGTATGTGAAGCCGCTGAGATATTTGAGGTATCATGACCTTGCAGATCGAGGGCTGTGCAACTCTGCTTCCTCACACGAGGCGGGAGGCTGTACGTACCAGTCATACTTGGACTTGAAGGCATCAGTGCAGAACGTGCACTGGAAGATACGTTGACCCTCATCAGGACTAGCCTTCGCTGCTCGGGTAGGGAGACGGCGACGCCTCCGCCTCTCCTTTGACTTCAGACTGTTCAAGGAGCCTAGAGAGTGCCGTGATCCATGCGAGTAAGCTGAGTTGCGAGATCCAAGAGAGCCGGAAGACATTTGCGTGAGACCAGTCTCCAAAGACGAGATAGACGGTGCTCTAAATACTGAGAAGCTTCCAGTGCTGTTGTTAGAGCCATCTCTACGGTAGCTACTACTCAGACTGGCAGATTCTGGTGGGTCAAAGGTTTCAACAGCGTGGGCAATAGCTTCCAGTGGCGCCGGTTCGTTCTCAGGGGGAGAGTGTTTCCATCGTTCAAAAGGATCTGTCGCGAGTTAACCCAAAACTTCCGTTTGTTGGAGCGCTGGCACTTGAAATGATGCGCCAGTATCTGGGATTCTGTGCTCAACGTCTGGACGCTTTTCACCTACTCGGAAAGTCATAAACTTTCCGGTGGATGTCGACGCCAGAGTTTTATGAGAGCGAGTGAACCCAGACTCGGTGTACGTACTCAAAGTTTCCCAGGTCTTGCCTGCTGGGATATTGATAGCCTCTGTCGAAGGTCGAAGGCTCGGCGATGCGCTTCGCTTGGGTCGATTCTTCTGCCTTCGCCGTGTGTTGGCCATCCAGTTAGAGATTTGGTTGAGCGACAGGCCGGTCTGCTGCTTCAGATCCTCCTTTTCTTCGTCGGTAGGATAAGGATGATCGATATGCATCAGCATCCAATCTTTCAGTACTTTGACAGCGGCTCGAGGAAAGCGAGCACCTGCGGCACCCTTCTTAAGACCTTCGTCATCCTCTTTCCCATCTTCGATTGGGCCAAGATGACCCAGCGATCGCATCTGCTTCTTGCCCGTAAGTCCACCAAAGTGTCGCGTATCGTTCTCGGCCACGACATCTAAGGTGTCTAGTGCAGTCCTCTGCCGCATACCTGGCATCCTCTCGGGGTTGCTGAAGCTGCATGGTCGGAACAAAGCGTTGCATGGGGAGCATCCGGTTTGCTTTGAGCCATCGGAGTTATAGACGAAACACTCCAGTGATCTCGATCGACAGTATTCGCATGGATGAGCAGGCTTCTGGTATCGTGGAAGCCAGCTGCTAAAGTCTGTGTTGAAGTCTGTACTCGTAGGTTGAGCACTGTTGGATTGCTCCAGAGCTCCAGAGTCGTCATCTGATGGAACGCTAGTACATGTTAGAACTATACTAAGGCGAGTTGGCAAGTATGAGCCACGATCCTTGCCAACCCGCAACAAGCAAGTTTCAAGTCGAGGTTGTACGACGATGCTCGGCAAACTCACCTTTGTTGTAGCAAGGTTCCTGATACGCTGTGATCGGTTTCTTGTGACACATTGGGCATGCTTGCTTCCCCGAAATCGACAAAGTCTGCCATATCGAAGGCTGCACTAGGAGTAGCCATGATGGCGGACCACGATCTCACAAGCAAGACCAGATCGTATTGGTCGGTGTCAATGATTTTCGGAGGATTAAAAGACAAGTGCGCGCCCTCTGTACGGATTAGACGATAAGGCGCAAGATGTCGTTGCGGGATGATGGATCCTAAGTACGACTGCTGGTTCAGACTCACACCTTAGGCCATACCCAAGAAAGCACTGCACACTTCCTACAGCCGCTAAACCGCATTCTGCAGGATGTCGAGTTGAAGGGCGCAGTCCGTGCGTTCGCAGAATACAGATTAGCCAGTCTTGCGTTTAGAGCGGGCTAGTCATCCGATAGAGAACGCGCTCGTAACGCTGAGTCAGTAGCATGCATCGCAGTGATGATTTTAGATGTTGAGGTTGGGGGTGACAGTTGCTTGCGATGCATGTATAGTGTATTTCGACACGAATATATACTTGACATGTTCCGTTTCGATTGCATTTCGACCTTGCCAACTTCTAGGGGTGCAGGAGCTGAAAATTACAGATGCGAATCTTACGGGGCTATTGAACCCCAGCCCCAGCAAACCGGAGCTGACAAACCCCACATCGGTTCTGCGCGAAGCACGATCCTGGCGGAAGTCATCCTCTGACGCTTGTGGCAGCTTTGCGATTGGTTCCAAAGGGTCTAGAAGATAGCAGACCTTCGGGGAAATGCATGCTGCAATGGGGAGCCCGCTGGGAAAGCGTTGCAAAACATGCGAAATCGGCAAGCGTAACCACTGGATATGGAAGTCTGCAAGGCGTGCAGCTAGCGGTCAGGAAGATACCGTTCATCGGAGGGTCGTAAGAGTCGGCGAAGAATTGACATTCGGGAGCCGAACAAATAGGGTCTTCGGGGCGATTAGCTCCGCACCCAACCAGCAATCGCGTGTAGCTGCTATGTTGGGAAGCGCGGTGGACATGAGCTATACATATAGTACTTGCTGCGAAGCTGAAACGCGTGTATTTGTTCTTTTCACATGTTGAAGACGCTAGCTGTAGCAATGGTGACAAGTGACGTCAGGGAATCTACCATGTCAAGAACGCGCCCGCGGACGCAACAGCTGTCTAAGTTCACCAGAGACCACCATGCGGACTCGGAACTATCTCCAGGCGCTCTTCTTCCTTTGAATCACACCGGATGTTTCGGACTGCTACCTTGCGATAGAAATGGATGTCTTCGTAAGCTTCGTCTTTTCCATGGCTTGACCGCCCAACAGAACCCTTCGGCGAGAGACTGAGACGCGACATATCAACCATGAGCGAACATTTACTGGAAACACGCCCGAAAGCTGCAAGAACACTTGTTTTTGTAGACAGCGCTGCTCAATGTACACCCGCTTAGAATGGTCAACCATGCCCAAGTGGATACATGAGGTATAGAAGACGTCAAATGGATCTGTCACACGTTGCGTCCCAAGTGACACTGAGATGTATACCGCTGATGCGTCCTTTGTATGATGGATCTGGACTCGAAGCACTCTTGCGCTGGACCCAATCGGACATATCGATATAGAGGGGTCGGACAAGGCTGGAAGCGAGGCGGGGTAACGTGTTGTAAAGATCGAATACTAACATGTGTCACGCAGGCTCATGATCAAAGTAGTTTCTTTTGACCATAAGACGGTGAAGCATAGTAGTTGACATATCACTAGCTTCCGATCGAGCCTACCGACTGTCAGATGTAAATAACCTTGGCATAGCGCGAGGTTGGGTGTCGAGCGGATCTTAGCGATTCTGCCAACTCATAACGCATCCGCAAGTCTGTTCCATACATCAATCCGTCCATAAGCCGCACGAAACTAGCCAGTCCCAGTCACGGGCCTCCACAGTGCTCGTCATGTAACATGTCACTTGTCACCGCCTGTGCCTGACTACCCAAGCGCGAGCATCCGTCTTGGGCTTGTATTAAACCGACGATACTCCACATCGAAGCCTCACTCTGCCTGCATAGCGAGTCTTGAGGCAGCTTCCCAACCGTGCCTGTCCCACTCTGGACCGACGATGATTAGCACTGGCTCTCCAAGCCTTCACCCTCGAAATGGATGCATCTCCAAACTGTGCCATCTGCAATGCGCCGCCGTATCCTGAATGCTCCTGCGAGTCGGAGCGGCTGCAAATCGCTGTCAAGCAGGCCGAACAGCGTGCCATGGACGAGAGGCTGGCCGAGATACGGTATGGGGAAGATGCGCTCTTTACGATAAATGCTGACTGTCTAGGGACTGGGTAATCAACCATGCTCGCCAGCACATCCTCAACGCATTCGAAAGATTGACCTCGATACGCAAGCAAGCGCATTCGTCATACCTAGCCTCCCTCCCAAACTACGAAGTCTACATGCGATACTCGGGCCATCCCCCACTTCACCCAATGTATATATCGACGCTGCAAACACAGATTGCAGAAGCGCATGCAGAACTCAAGCGCGGTATTGATGCCGACTGGCGCGCATCCGTACTGCGATACCCAGAAGTCCTCGACTATTTCTATAGCCTTGTCGACCTCAGACTACCGGACGATCGCTCTCGAGAAGTCGTTGAGCCGCCATTCGCCGCGGCAGGCTACGCGGATATAGGATATCGGGTCAAAGAGAAAAAGAAAAAGCGGCGGGACCGAGCGGAGAGAGAGGGATCAGTACCGCAGCAGCCTCAGATGCATATGGCACTCAGAGTGATGCGTGGACAGATGCCTCCTGTACCAACCCCACCGATTCATCATAACGGGGCCTATCCTCGACCGCCAGAATCTTACGATTTCTGACTGGGCCAAGATTGTGTACCCGATGCCCTTATCATAAGATCTAATCACAACCGCCCACACGTACGAAGGACTATAAAGGAGGTCGTCTCTCATGAGGTATACCCTAAAGGTGTACACAAACTTCCTCATTACGGCTTCGACACGAAAGCAACTGCGTGCCCCTTAGGGATATCTTACAATTGAGCAAGACGAGCTCTTTCCTTTATTACCAGCCATCGAATGGCTTACGAAGCAACGACGCATTGTTGGATAGTATCCACAAACTATAGCATGTACTGGCGCTTCTTTTGTTGGTCTCGTTTTCTGGGTATGCGACTACTATAAGCGCATAAATGAAATTACGCATAGCGAGGTGTATTCGTCCAAAGGGGTTTCATTTCACTGAGTAACATAACTATCTGCCCTCAGCAGCGAATTCAACTTCATAGATGACTTCAATACAATCAGAGATGAAGAGTTCCTCGTGCGCACGTCGCGTTGGGTGAAGAAGATGCCTAAGGCTCCACTGAGTCCGTGCACATATGGCTTGGAAAGTCGAAGCTTGAGCTTGTAGAAAACGCAAGACACAACATCAGCAAGTTTTATCACCCGAGCTTCACCCAGCGCCACGCGACTACGTCGAGGTCCCCCGCGACTTATATAATTCCAAACAATTAGACCATACCTGGACGCGATCGCGAAGCGCGTACTCGATACATTCGCCCATCATGAGCGGAAAGGCAGGCGCATATGGAACAAAAGGCGGCGGCGACACAGACTTCAGGAAAACATGGGACCGAGACGAGATGGCGCAAAGGGCGAAGGATAGGGAGGCAAAGGACCGCGAGGAAGGGAAAGAGCGATATGAAGCGAAACTGGCTGGCAAGACATACAGACGGAGGGCGTCTACGCCCGACGATCTGAAGCAGACCGAGGCCAGGTCAGAGCGCATAGATTGGAGCAAGATGATTGGAAAGCAGACCCTCACATCGGCAGCGGCAGCCGTTGGCAAGAGGGGACGCGGTGCGGGCGCATACTGTCAAGCCTGTGACCTTACATTCAAGTATGTATCCATCGTCACAAGTCGCTAGACTACACTAACCGCTACCAGGGATAACATTCAGTACGTCGAACATTTGAATAGCAAGCAGCATCTGGTCGCGACGGGCCAGTCGGGCGAAGTACACCGCGCTACAGTCCAGGAAGTACGCGATCGCCTACGATATCTCAAGCGAAAACGAGACGAGGACAAGTTTATGGAGGTGACGGACCTGGATGCGAGACTGGCCATGTCTAAGGAGCAGATGGAAAAGGATGCCGAGGAGAAGAGGCGGCTGCGCAATGAGAAGCGCCGGGCGAAGAAGAAGACAGACGCCAATGCCATGGAGTGGAAGGTCGAAGGCGACGGCATTATCCGCTGAATGGTGGGTGACATTGAGCAGGCCCATACTGCACAATATGGTCTCGGCGGGACAAAATAACCCTGGGCTATCGCACGTTGGCCGACGGACGGACGAGCACATGGCGGTCTTCTTCAGGCCTGCATCTGGCTGCTATCTCTGGACGTCGAGTCTTTCGTCGTCCGAGGCTCGGATTCCGAGCTTACGAGAAGGAGCATGCACATTCCCCATGGGAAGGGCGAACACCGCCACGCATTTTCTGCTTTCTACAGGCTTCCTGTACAGCTCATCATCGAGCTTCAGCGTTGTCAAATGCTAGAGTTCCTACACAAAGCATCTGAGCTCACATGGAATGGGAATACGGGCGAAAAGCTCCGGGGATTAGGCGCGCAACTTCCACGGGACGCGGACCACTTACCCCACATGTCGGCATCCCCCAGCATACTGGTGTAATGCATCCGCACGCTGATTTCTAAGCTCAACGCCGAGTTACGAGCTTCGACATAGCATCATAAATAAACGCGATTTGTCTCAGGTCGCATTATACTCCTGTCCAGCTAAGCTTTGTACCCAGCATCCGTCTCTGTCTTGTCGTAGTTCCTATATTCTCAGCCGCATAACCTAGCGCTGACATCACCTTTCCCATTCTACATTGCCCATCATGGTTCAACTCAACGGAAACACGCCCAAGATCACTTTATACACCAACCATCGCTGCCCTTGGGCGCATCGTGCACACATTGTGCTAAAGGAGTTGGGCCTTCCTTACGAGGAAGTCATCATTGACTTGGGCAAGCCGCGAGAGCCATGGTATCTTGAAATCAACCCTGTACGTTCAGCCTCTTGTTCAACCGTCGAAGCAGCATTAACGCTCTAAAAGCGCGGTCTTGTTCCTGCGATTGATTTCAACGGTGAGATCATCACAGAATCTGGCGTCGTTGCAACGTTCTTGGCCGATGCGTACCCTTCGCACGTCCTCCCCGCAGCAGGGTCCCCAGATGCTGCCTTGACCAGGGCAAGAATCAACTTCTTCGTTGACACTTGGTTTAGCAAGGCGGGCAGCTACTTCTACAAGATTTTGATGGCGGGTTCTGAAGATGAGAAGGCGAAGTTGAGCCAGGAATTTGTGGACGTTGTAGGCAAGGAGATCGAACCGCTCTTGAAAGACGCGAAGCCATTCTTTGGTGGAAGTCAGAAGGTCACGTTGGCTGAGGTACATTGTTGTGTCATCTTGACCACGAGCGAAGCTGACATACTGCAGGCACTGACAGCACCATTCATCATCCGAACATATGCCATGGCCAAGAACGAACTCCTCCCAAAGTCTATCACATCCGGCCTTGACGCACTGCCCAACTTCTCGAAATGGGCCGCCGAAGTCGTCAAGCAGGACAGTGTGACGTACATCTGGGACGAGGAGGCAGTCATCGATGGCACACGAAAAAGGATTGAGAGCCAGAAGGCAGCTTCCAAGTGAGCTCTCACTGTATCACTACAATACGGCATGCGATGACCATGACAAGGTTGTAATTCGCTCACCAGGATACATCTATCTACCTATCTACACTTTTGAGTACAATATGTGCCAGGCCGCTTAGCACTGGGTGTGCAAAGTTGCTGATCTTATGCGATGGTTTTTCTTCCGAGTGGATATCATAAACGCTAACATGAAGTAATGCCAAACAGCGACACCGAAGCGCCTATAGTGCGCCTTTGTACACATGAAAGAAACAAGCCAGACCAAATGCATGTTGCTTAACGAGTGTGCAGACGATGAGTTCTAGAAAATCAAAGTACTAGTGGAAGTTCAGAGGTGGAATCCATGGGGTTGGAGCACGAAGCCTAGGGGACAAAAAGGGCTAGGAGACGTCATCGGCTGACGGAAAAGGAAAGGACCACTGGCGGTACTTGAGCTAACGATCTTGTGAGGAAGGTGAGAATCAACGCTTCCCTAAATCCTCGAACCACGACGCGTTCGCTTTGTCGGTGGCATCGTCGTTCCTGTTCCTGATAGCGACAACAACATCGCCGCCGCTTCAAGATCTCCGTGTGTATGGTTGTCATCGCCACCGGACATCTCCACTTCGGAACCATGTGCGCTGTCTACAGTTGCGGTTGTTTCGAGGCGGATGAGAGCTTCGTCACCGCAGTCATCGTAAGAGGCGACGTTCGAATGCGTACGTTTTGTTCGATAGAATCCGCCCTGGTATTCGCAAGGAGCCGATGTTGGGGTGAGCAGACCTGGAGGCGCGTTCAGGCTAATGGGTGAGCCCGTGAGCGAAGAGACGGCTGTGCGCGGCGAGTACGGGGATTGGGACCGGTTGATCGGCGTGAACTGGGTACGAGGAGATACTTCGGGCGAACAAAGATACTTGCCAGTCCGATCAGTGTCCGTCCCATACCCGCTCTCAATATCGGACGGCCGCACGCGCCGATGCCTTGCAATTTGCTCGTTCATCGAGGAGCGCCCACAGTGCGTCTTGCGTGTCTCGGGCAGCGATGAGGCATCGGGTTTGCACAAAGTGTATGCAGGGCCAAGCTCTTTGAAACGAACTGTCTCCTGCGCGCAATACCGGACAGTAGCTGGATCGATGAGGAACTTCGCAAAGCATGCATCGCTCGGGTGCAGACATATGGAAGGGAAGTCGTTCCCGAATACAGGGGTGAGCGCCCATCGGATGTCGTAGCAGAAGGTCGCAGCTATAGCTCTCGCGGCGTGATAGGGCATCCAATAACCTACATTGGGTCAGTACTTCTCCGCTCATTGATCAGAGTATCGTAACTAACCTTGACACACCAGAGCACCGCCGGTGATACTGTAACTAATGTCTTTCATACCGGGGTTTTCTCTCAACGCTTTCGCCGGTACCGTCTGGAGACGTTAGCCTTGTATGTATTCATAACGGAGACCGACTGTTTACCTTGGAGTACTTCAATGATTTGAAGAAGGGTGTCATACGAACGAGGCCGACATTGTAGTCCCAGACCACGACGTACTCCTTGTCTTCATTGGGTCTCTTGTACGTATACTGGAACACTATTCAGAAGTCAGAACCGAGCCTTCATAACATCAGATAAGGCTCACTCTCGAACGCCTCGCGCCCAGTTTTTTCGTGGAAAGCCTTCTTGTCGCTATTGTATGGAATGTGCCGTACACCCTTCCTGAAGATTTCCCCAAGGGGGTAGATTTGAAATCGGCGATGCTGTTGTAAGAGCTCCTGGTCATCCCCGGCTTCGTGGGGTGGGAAGTTGACGTTGCCGACGGTCCTATTGCCTTCTGAGAAGATCGGAGCGTCTTTCGGAATCTTCTGTCGTCTAGGCACATCAACTGTTGTCACCGGATAGCAGGCTGGCGTGGGCGATTTTGAACTGCGGAAATCGTCCGGACCACCGCAGAATGGGTTCAACAAGTGCGATATCTTCATGGTGTGGATGACACAAGAACTTTCTAGTATGAGGAACGAAGACTGTTGGTACAGGTACTTGTCGTAAGGTACTTGTCGTGAGGTACTTGTCGTGAGGTACTTGTCGTGAGGTACTTGTCGTAAGGTACCAGTATTTGACAGGGACAGTGGACTTGAAGACGCAGAGACCAGGTTGACAAGCAAGGCTAAGCTGCTGTGGAACGAAGGAGCGATTTGGAGTAGAGGGGTGTTTGGTGGCAGTGACGGGAAGAAGAGGCCGAAGTCCAGTTCGTTTGCGAAATGCTCACGAGGACGCGATGATCACTCTATACTACTGACCACTGAGGACGTGATCCGGATAACACGAAGCTCTAGCAACCGGCCTTCACGCGATTAGTACCCTACATCAGATGGAACTGGTAGCCTCCGCAACGTACGTACCGTGTTGAGGTCAGTACTTGGTCGACAACACACTCAATAGGGTTGACGGTGAAGAGACGTGCGCTACGCGCTGGTGATGACTTAATACCGCAGTGGCTTTCTCCAACAAACGTCGTCCCGTGGCGAATAGCTGGGTCTCGTGTGGTGTCCAACGGATACCCTCGCTCGGTTATCGCAACAGTACAAGTAGGTCAATCACTTTGAAAGGCCAAGTCAGCAGAACCCAAGGAGAAACAATCGCATGAGTCGTGTCAGGCAAGATAGGATGCAGTTCTTACCAAAGAGTCGAAATTTGGACCTGGGTATCCTTTTTGGAGAGCTTTCGGATAAGATCACCAGGGATGGACGGAAGCGTAGGAGAAGGTACTTGTGCTGTACACAGTTCTTTTAACGGGTCAACTCTACCTTCACTTCGGCCCACTAGCTGCTCACCTTTGGCGAAGTGCGTCGCCAAAGCTTGTCCAAGCGCCTTGCAGATGACGTCCGGTGTGTAAGTGGACGTGCTTTAGCCTCAGATGCATACTACATGGCTTGTCGGGGTATGCAGTGGCGGACCCACTAATAGGATCAAACGATCGTTACCGAAAGCAAGTGCTGGGGTATGGACAAGGAGATGGTGAAGGATGGATCGAGGGTATTGTGTCGTACGGCGTCAAACACCGCTCCCGCCCTGAACCCTGCATCCAGACCAGGATATACATCTATTTCCTTTGTTCAAACGGTATATGGGTCGACATCAACCGAAACATATCCAGTGGGCCTGGGGGAACGTGCGAGCTGGTAGCACTGCCGCGACTCACCAATCACTGGTGCTCTAGGTGAGGGCTGCGGCATCTCACCTTTCCCAGCAACGCCTATACATGACCTACAACGGATACGGTGGACTGAAAACGAATAGTGTCCATGTTATCGATATCGGAGTCCACTGCTAAGGCTATTCGACGATTGCACCACCACATTGCAGATCCCTTTTCTATTACACATGAGTGGCATCACCAAACTCAAATTAGCTGTGTTCGGTCCTTCACAGGATTCCAGGTCTACTGCGTCCTCCTTGTCAGTATGGCATGAAAGAACGAATCGTTGTAATGTTTACCTGCAGCTTTCCGCAGGAGTACAAGTGCACGGTCTCTGTCCTCTCGTTGCAAACGTGGCCCAATTTCTCACGCATCTCGGAACATCTGCACGATTGCGATGTTCTCAAAGAACTCTATTGGTTTGCACCTTTGACGTGTGCTTTCAGCCTTGTTCCCGCTGGCGATACTCGAGATGTTCAACCTAGGCCCTGCTCGCTTGCCCCTGCAATCGCGACCAAACTTTCATTCAAAGTTGGTATTCTGAAAAGCATTCTCGGATTGATCACAATAATCTCTCGGTAGTGAGACATGGCGTACTCTAATGCAAGCCCCTTTACCTATCCGCCAGGCAAAGATATCGAGAGCGAACCCCGACATAACATGCGTGTCGCTGGACATCATTGACCAAAACTGCTTGCCCTACCCGTCCCAGTATGGTTTGCAAGGTTTGCAGGTCTTCTCACGAAGAGAGGCGGTGTTTATGTCTCAGCGCAGACCGCTCAAAGACAGAAAAAGCCAAGCTGCAGCTTTTCATGTGGTCACCCGTGACCATCGCTTGATCAAGAGCTCTTTCAGGACTATTCTGTACTTTTGACGCTCCTCCACTGGTGAAATGATGCCGTCAAGCGAGGCTGCCTGGATACTCACTGCCTGACCCGCTGTCACTGCGCGCAGCCGGCGGTGGGAGATTCGAACAACTCATACTGCCTTCCGGTCAAAGCAGAGCGCCTTCGTGAGATCATGAGCAGACTCTCGACGCCACAGCTTCAATTGGCTCAGGGCTCACTGCGTTCTGGGACTCCGGGTCACTCGTACGGCGACCAGGTAGGAGAGGAGACGCGCACTCGTTGTCGATCATCGTGCATATGCGCAGAGTCTTTCCGCTTCCGCTGGTTGCACAGAAGCCGTCACAGTGGGATGACAGACGGCTCAACCTCCTGGGATTAGCCAGCAAGGTATCGCTGTACTGTGAGCTCAGGATCGAGTTGAGCGGCAAAGACCAGCTACTGAGGCTCCATGGCTGTCTTGTTGTTTCAGCGGGCACTCAATTCTGGGTTCAAGACCTCTATCCACAAGAGCCCAGGTAAAACAATACCGTGCTCGAGCGGCCTCTGAGTGTGATCATTGTGCATGGCACAGGCAACGAGATACCTTGACCTTGGCAGATACCAGAGTGGGCGCAAGCCGCAATCTCGTCGCCGGGCCGACATTCAAGAGCGCTTACTTTGAGACAATACCGTAAAGGAGTTGTTAGTTACCTCGCTATCTTTTTTGCCGTACGCGTGGCCTGGCGGATCAAGTATCCGAAATTCGATCAATGTCTGACAAACACAACTGCCAGAGATGTCCTACGGACAAGCTCTTCACTGGTTTTTCAAGCAATAGAGGCACGAGAAAGATCACAAATATCAGCAATAGGATAGTTCGAGACTACAAGCGCAAGTGGACCGTATCCAATTGCGTGGCCATTCAGCACGACATGTAGCGTCGTAACACACCTACCTCTTCAATGAAGACGTCGGCAGTAGTACCTCTTTGGGATTAAGCAAAAAAGACAGTGCGACCAAACGGCGGCGATTTGTGCACCGAGCGAGTGCTAACTTATGTTTTAAAGCACTGCATACGTCCTCGGCGTCTAGATTCAATCGTTTCTACATCGCTTTCTTACACAATGAGTGGTACTCTAATGACAAATTGTCACCACGCCGCTCTCCCAGCATGAATTCTGATCCTGCTTCTTACAGGCACTGAGTAAAAGCTATGAGGCACTGGCTACCTAAGCGTTCTCTATC